GTTCCGTTATTGTTTAATCGCGGTTGTTTGAATTAGTGTTGCGTTAATAAAATGCCCAGAGTTTTTCCACTGATATTGTGGAAATTGTTTATTTTTTTGGATCACTTAATTTTCTAGAAAAATCAAAAAACTGAGCAGGTAATTCTTCATTGTATTTTGTTATTCCTTTTGACTATTTTTTCTTTGTTCTCTTCTTTTCTTCATCATTTTATTAAAAAAGCATATCCTATAAAAAAATATACATTTGTTTATTAAAAAAATATCTTCCATTTGTTGATTGATATTGTTTAACAAAATTATTATGTTAATAAAAAGTTTGAATGTAAAAATTGATATGATATATAATATGTAGTTTTGTTTCCTTCTATTAATAGTAAAAATCATACTTGAAATTAAATAATTTTTTAATTTAGAAAAACTTTGATGGAGTTTCAATCAAAATTTTTGAGAAATCACATGATTTTTTCTTTATTTATAGATAAATCTCATGATTATCTCCATCTGTGATATAATTCTTAAATTTAATGCAATAAATTATTGAGAGTATATTAGAAACTTACACAATCGGTATTTCAGATTTTGAAATAGAAACATTACAAAATTTCATAAGATAAATCTATTGTCTATCTCATTTTGTTTACTGTTACATAATAAAAATATATTGCATATTAAATCAAACAATAAATGTGAAGATATTAAAATAAAAAAAAAATAAATAATTTAAAAACTTAAAAATGACATCATTAATTATGTTAGGTTATGAAAGTGAGAATAACCTTGTTAAAAAACGAATGGACTTAATTAAAAATTGGGAACCACAGAATGAGGTGTATGTATTATAATTTTAATTCTTAATTTATTATTAAATATATCATATTAAAGAATATAAATTTTTTAATTTCTCATTGTTCATAAATATATTATTGTAATGTTATTATTTTTTTAAGCTGGTCTTTAAGACATGGAAATAAAATAATAGCAGGAATTGCTTTTATTAATGGAATGATAATTAACTCAATATTTAGACATAAATTGAAGTTACATCATAATGGTGCAAAAATGACAACATTATTTCTAACATTAGCACCATCATCTACTTCATATTTATGTCATCAATTTGTATGTTAAATCTTATTAATAAATAAAAAATATTTTCTAAAAATCTTTTACAATAAAAAATATAATAATTATAGTAATTCTTATTTTCAGTTTATTTTAAATAAAATATTGATACGTGAACCTCATTGTTTAATATGTGAAGAATTAAAAGCAATTTCATTTCTACAAGCTAATAGCTTATTATATTCTTTAATTATATCACCAGCAATAAATATTGGGGTAAAATATTTTTCATGTCATTATCATGTATTCTATGTTAATTTAATTTTCTAATTTTAAAAATTTTTGTGTAGATTGCTGGAAATATAGGGTACAGAGTTCCATATATAAGAGAAGGAAAGGAACTTTTCAAACTTTGGTGGAGCATTGTTAAACCTCATTCTAAGATCATATCATTTTTATTTATTAGCAATACAATTGTAGGTGGTATAGTTACCTACTTACAAATTTTATCAATGCAAAATCTAACAAATATTATAATAAAACTTCATGAATATATTGATAATAAAAAGGTATGTTTAGACAATTTATTATTTAATATACTATCGTTATATGCATATCTTCTTAATATATATACATATATATCTAATATACTTACATATTTACATATATTTCTATGTATTATAGGTTGAAAACATGAAGTGGGAAATATCATAAATTATATACTACTTAATAAATAAATTTTTATTTAATTAAAAGTAGAAGATTGATAATAGTTCAAATTTAGAACTTTTGTATTATTCATACTATAACAGTGCATTAATAACAATAAATGAGTTAATTTATGCAACTAAATAATTTATAAAATAATTGTACAGAATATATTAAATCGACAGTTGTAAGAATAAAATGGTAAGGAAATTTCAAATAAATTTTGATAAAATTTTAATATTCATATTTATATATTAAATTAATATATTAATAAATATCACAATAAGTTGCATGTATAAATTATATATATATATTATTATAATTGTATTGTTTTTAATATGTAACTATCACATTAATAATATGAATGTTATAATGTGATAGTTAAATAATAAAAACAATGATTTTTTATTTTTTATTTATAACATATTATATTTTCAATTTTATTTTTAATAGAAAATATATATTAAAATATTATAAGTTTTTGTTAATAAATAAATTAAGATAATTTATTTTTATCAACTTTTTTATACTTTTGAGAAATAATCATATAGATAAATTGTTATATTTCATGCACATATTGTTTGGAACATTCTTTTTCTTATTATAAAAGATATATAAAGAGTAGTTTTATGAATTAAAACACACCTTTTTTTTTGTTATTTCAATAATTTAATTACAATTTATTTTTATTATTACGAGTATATAATTTTTATATTTAATTTATTATTTACATTCTTTCTTATTTACATTATTATTTACATTCAATTTTTTATAAATATATGTATAGATTATTATTTATTCTTTTTTTCTCAAAAAAATAATATAAAATATTTTATATTTCAAAATTATTATTTCGTTAATTCCAATAATTTTCTATTATTATTCAAGATACTATTAATAAACGTTAGAATATTTAATGTTTAAAAAATATTGAAGTTTATGATTATAAATAACATCTATATTTATTATATATGTTATTATTTATATAATATATTAAGTTTGTTTGTATATCACAAATTTTGAACTGCAATTATAAATGCAGACATTAATATTATTATTTAATGGCTAAGGAAAGTTTATTAAGTACTATATTTTTATTAGAGAACAGTCAAAATAAAATAAAAATACACTGTGGATAAAAGAATGAAACAAACAATAACATCTTGTATAAACTAAACAATAATATATTTATACTAGCTATAAAAAAACTGAAGAAATTTGCCAATTGAATTTAAATTCCACAAATATTATCTTATATTCAGTAGTTATTTGTAAATAGTGTTAAATTCAGAAAAGATAAGGCCACTAAATACCCAAAATCCTATTATTTTTGTTAATAAATATTTTTTTTTTATAAAATAAGTAAGTATAAAATGTAAGCATATAATAGGCACCATTGGAAATAGTAAAAGATTAAATTGAGTCTTTAATACCATGTTTGTTTTTATATTCCATAATCTATGATTTTTTATAGGAAGACATCTCCAATAATGATTATGCACTGATAAACAAACAAATTTTGTATGTGTATATAAAAATAAAAGATAACTTTGTATAGATAAGATGATAAAATTAATAGATATTGAATTATAGAATAGACATGATTGTGTCATAAAAAAGTAATTAGGTTCTATTATAATGAATGCATATTGACTGGCCATTATATTATTGCATTGATAATTAATATATTGCAAACAACAATTAAATGTATCTGTACTCAAATTATCAATGTTGTTAGAAATATAACAAATGGGGGGCCCTTTAATAGAACCCCAGGGCAGTTGCTAGCATCTTTGACCATGCCAGCGTGTCATATAATCTTGATAACTCACAGTCACTTTTTCACTCTGGTATCGAGTTAACTTGACACTACGTCTAATATCAGGAGTAACTAACCCCTTATAGCCTCCTTTATGTAGTAAAGAGTCTATTGTTTGGATTTGGTTCCATCCTAAATAAGTAAAATTCTAACTTTGCAGAATACTTGCAATTATCTTACAAGTATTTTTACACACATATTAAGTATAATTTAATTGTTAAGTAATTTATTAATTCTTTATTATAAATTACTTTATATTATGAAATAATCACATAGAAAAACTTGTTAATTCTGCAAATTCTATTTACTTAAATTGAATGTAATACAAACCTTGTTCTATTGCTACATCTGGCAAATATGTAGCAGTTCGTTTATTGCCCTTTTCATTATGAAATTCTATACGAATTCCATGAACCCCTATTATCCAATCTAAATAATCTGCTCCATCTTCAAAATGTCGAAGTATAGAAACACTTACATGTAAACGTGGAAGTTCTTCCAATGTTATTGGATTAAACCTTGAGTCCTTGAAAGCACTATAAAAAGTAATATACTTAAAATGGTTCTTATATTATTATTAATTTTAATCTAAAATAATACCTAGTAGTAGCATATTCCCGTAGTCCAGCATGTAAATGCATTGCATTAAATGTACCAATGCAACCTCTTAATCTCATATCTTTACCAATAGTCCATGTTACAAATAAAGGGCTTCAAAATCAAATATAATAATAATATATTAACATATATAAAAAATATCACATTTATATATTATTATATTTTAATAATATACATTGAAATTTAAAAAATTCTTATTTTAATACAATAAAAAAAACAATGAAAATGACAAAATTTTAATTAAAATATTTATAAAAATATTTAATATACTTTTACTTAGTCTTTTTAAGTTTTATATAAAATATCATAAAAAAATAATAAAGATAAAAAATATTTAATAATTTTTTTTCTCAATAAAATGTAATTATTTTATGTATAGAAACAAAAATATTTGAATAATATTTATTCAATTCTATTCATAAATTAAAAATGAAATGAAATATAAAAATTTATAATGAAAAAAAATAAAAAATAAAATACAAAAAATATCAATTCTATTGTATTAAAAGTTATATATTCAACTATTTAAAGTAAAAAAAAAAAAAATAATTAAATTAAAAGTAAATAGAGAGGTTGTCAATAACAAATACTTACAAAGCTTCATTACTGAAGTTGGGTGGTTTTGGTGGATCAAGTTGGTGCAGTTGGCAGTAAAGGACATCGAAACAATAAAAGCCCATCTCAGGTTGAACTATTATAGAATTCCGCATATGAATATTATTTTGTAAACTTACAGTATTGTTACGCGGAATACTAGTGGAATCATTTAGTTTTTGCTTTTTCGTTCCACAACAACCAGCTGCCATGGTTTCTTAATTAGCTCTTCTAAGTACAAGTGCGATCAGTTCCGTATCGTGCATTTTGTCCATTCGTTGCTATTGCATATGTATACGCATTCCACTAGATGTCTCATCATTCAAAAAACAGCTGTTTCACTGCCCGCTATTTTTCTAATGAATATTTTTCTATTGAATATAATTTTATTTAATATGTTCATTGATTTATTTATTATAAATATTTTATTATTGTTAATTAAAGAAGACATTTTTTTTTATCAATTTCAATACTTTTTGAAAAAATATTAATTTAATCATTATTTTATAGTTAGCTTTAAGCATAATACATAATTTAAAACAATTTTTTAAATCTTATCTAGTTAGAAAATATCAAATATTTTAAGTTATATAATTTAATGATAACTATATATGTATCTAATAGAATAGGGCTATTAACAATAACAACAATAGCAACAATAATAATATAACCAAACTTGATAATATAAAATTTTTATTCGTACACAATTATAATAAATTACTAAGATAGATCTTCATATTCATTGCATTGTAGTTTTTCATGTTTTATGAATCTGTCTGTTATTATTTATAAATTATTTAACAAAAATTTTTTACTAGACACAATACTTTTTTCTATTTATTAAAATATATTTAAAATTATTATAGAATAAAATGTTTTTCTAATATTTATATGTTAAAAAATGAAATACTAAAATTTTTTAATTATGTTTATAAAGATTTTTGTAATCAGATGTTATTATTCTTTATTAATCAATTGATTATTTTACCATAAATTAATTTCAAATGAAAAATAATTCTAATTATTTGCACATGAAAAATTTATTGTATATATATACTTTTTGAAAAAATATTAATTTAATCATTATTTTATAGTTAGCTTTAAGCATAATACATAATTTAAAACAATTTTTTAAATCTTATCTAGTTAGAAAATATCAAATATTTTAAGTTATATAATTTAATGATAACTATATATGTATCTAATAGAATAGGGCTATTAACAATAACAACAATAGCAACAATAATAATATAACCAAACTTGATAATATAAAATTTTTATTCGTACACAATTATAATAAATTACTAAGATAGATCTTCATATTCATTGCATTGTAGTTTTTCATGTTTTATGAATCTGTCTGTTATTATTTATAAATTATTTAACAAAAATTTTTTACTAGACACAATACTTTTTTCTATTTATTAAAATATATTTAAAATTATTATAGAATAAAATGTTTTTCTAATATTTATATGTTAAAAAATGAAATACTAAAATTTTTTAATTATGTTTATAAAGATTTTTGTAATCAGATGTTATTATTCTTTATTAATCAATTGATTATTTTACCATAAATTAATTTCAAATGAAAAATAATTCTAATTATTTGCACATGAAAAATTTATTGTATATATATATATATATATAGAGAGAGAGAGAAGTAATTTCCTATATAACATTGTATATTTTATATTAATTTATATCAATGCATAAACATTGATTCATATATCAACATAAATATAAAAAAATTGTTTTATAATAACATCTTTGTATTTGTATATATCTTTTTTCCTCTTTGTCCATGAAATATTTTTATAAACAGTAATATTAAATTTATTTTCACACTAAATGCACTCTTTATTTTTAATCAAGGAATTAAAATATTCTATTGTCACAAATCGAGCACATGCAATTAGTTTTCATTATTTAAATATATAAATGGCAGTTAATTAGACATCACATAATGCTGAATATATGACTAATAAAAATATATTAAAAAAGATAACTTGAATAACTAAATATTTTAATGACAATAATTACAAACTTATGATTAAAAAAAAAAATAGTTTCTTACTATTTGTGTATATTAACA